CTGCTTCTCCCTCTGACCCTCCCCTCTCTCATGTGCTCTCTCTCTCTCTCATTCTTTCTCTCAAATAAATAAATAAAATCTTAAAAAAAAAATCTTAAGAAAAAAGTACTGAAGGACTATTAGTCATATCATATGTTAAAAATAGTTTTAAACTATTATTAAAACAGTAATCCTGATACATGAGCTAATCAGTGGAATGGAAGAGGGAGCCCAAAAGTGTGTGATAAGGGAGCCCAGTATGTGATAAAGGTGTAGTATATTACGAAATTGTGGGAAACATAATGGTCTTGCAACAACTGAGCGTTCATCTGGACCCAAGCCTTATTCCTTACATCAGAATATTGCAGGTGAGTCAAATGTGTAATGATAGGAAATGAAAAAACAAAATTATAAGAAAAAAGGCAGAACAATGTTACTCATCTAGGCATAGTGAGGATCTTTCTGATGTAACACAAAACCCAGAAGCTATGAATGAAAGGATCTATAAATCCAACTTAAGAAAAATGTTACATCTGCAAACAAAAAGGTAAATGGCAGATTGACAAATATTTGCAACACAGACAAGGAATTGATTCTCTTTAACAAAAAGCTCCTGAAAAATCAAGAAGTAAAACAACCCAAAAAAAAATGAATATACAGAAAAGGAAATTGTTATTTAAATGGCATTTAAAAAAGAGAAAGGCAACTTAACCCCATGTACTGCAATACCATTTTCCACCTCTATTAGCAAAGATCAAAGAATGGTATTCAAAATATTTAACACCCTGGCCCTGGTCAATCAGAACAGACTCTGAAGACTCCTTCTTCAGCCTGTTGTCAATCCTTCAATTGGTGGATTGTGGGAAGGGTGTTGGAACTAGAGCAGAGATACCCCAGTGGAGCACTCAGGGGCTTGGGGCAGCAGCTTGTTGCTGGTGGGTATGGAAGTATGCTGATATTTAACTACCAGTACAGTCCCACCAGTACAATACCAGTGCGGTATAGTTACCTACCACACCTGGTGGAGGAGAGTACCGGTCTTGCACTGTTGACAAACAGCCTCGAAAAGGAAAACAGTATTATTTGCCCAAATTTTAAATGAGTCCTTTGAGTGAAAGGACCCATGATTAGAAAATACATCACAGCCTTATTTGAAAAGACAAAGTGGTACGTAGCACATCTATCAATAGGAAACTGGTTAAATAAATTATAGCACATTCATACACCGGAAAGTGTGGAGTTATGAAAAGAATGAGCCAGTCCTGTGTGTACTCATCAAGACAGATTATTGGAGAAGGGAGTGGGGAGCAAGACTCTTGATCTCAGGGTTCTAAATTCGAGCCCCACGTTGGGTGTAGAGATTACTTAAAATATTTAAAAAACAAAAAATATATATTCTGTTTTCGTTTTGTTTTAAGATGAGATTAAGTTAGGGAATGTCTAAGGGGTTCTCTTAAGCTCTAAGTCTGCAAAAGGGTAACTGAAACTGAACTGAGAAGATCCCCAAACCTGCTCTATCTTCAGTCTTCCTCTTCCTGGTTCCTGGCCTCTCCGTTCTTCCGGTTGTTGAAAACAGAAACCTTGGAGTCTTCATCATCTTTCCCTTATGGCCCACGTTCACCCTTGTCCACCACTGCCCCCCATTCCCAGATCCCATAGTTTTGGGGTTTTTTTATTTTTTAATTAAACTCTAGTCTACTTTCAATTCAGGAACCAGAGTAATCCTGTTGAAGCATAAGTCAAACTATGTCCTGCCTCTCGCTCAGAATTCTGCAGTGACTCCCCACTTCGCTTAAAAAGATGAAGTCCTTCAAATGCACAGCTTGACATGCATGACCTGCCTGTGCCACCCTTCTGTCACTACTGCCCCACTCGACCCCTGGCCACTTCAGCCTTCGGAACAGGCAGGCATCTTCCCCCCAGTATTCCCCATCACTTACCCCCCCCCCACTTCCTTATTGTTCAAATGTCACCTTCTCTGGGAAGCCACCTTGTTTTAAATTTCATTGCATCCTCCCTCTCCCCCAGCTCACTCCAATCCTCCTTAACCTGCTCTATTTGTCCTACTACACTAAACAGGTTCTAAATTCAATATAGTGGGCGCCTGGGTGGCTCAGATGGTTAAGCATCTGCCTTCGGCTCAGGTCATGATCCCAGGGTCCTGGGATCGAGTCCCGCATCGGGCTCCCTGCTCCTTGGGAGCCTGCTTCTTCCTCTGCTTCTCCCTCTCCCTCTCTCTCTCTCTCTCCTCCTCTGTCTCTCATGAATAAATAAATAAAAATCTTTGAAATAAATTCAATATAGTGTATTGATTATATTTATTGCCCATCTCCCCCCACTGAAAGATAAAACTTCACAAGGACGGATTATGGTGATGTAGCCCGGTGCCTGGAACAGTGCCTGGCACATAGATGACACTCAATAAATACTTGGTGAGGGAGTGGGCTTATATTTTCTTCATTCAGTTCCTGTAAAGTCTACTTAACCATTCTATGGAGAGAGTAATAGCTAATAGTGGCATTACCAGTAGTAACAATCATAAAGACAGTCATTTATCTAATTCACTGCCAGCAATAATGTACTGTCAATACTTAATAGTTATTTTTAAAGTTCACCCCCTGTAACTATAATAGCAGCAATCCCCGTCACCATGTATTAAATCCTTACACCAGGAACCAGATAATCCCACATTGATTATCTTTCAGATAAGGGAACTAGAGCCAAGAGTTAATGCCCATGGCCAAGGCTGATAAATCTTTTCAGATTCCCTTTCTTCTGTGTTCCTCAACCTTGTAAGTGCTCTTGGCAAGCTATAGTCTTTTCTCGAGACTGTGGGGATGCCATTTGTTGCCTGAACCACACAGAGATGCAGGATGGGTCAGTCTGAGGTTTCTGTTACTTCCCAGTTTCAAATCATGCGCCATGATCGCTGTGTTTCTCTCCTGGAGCCAGCACTTCTCCCCACCTCAGTCAGCTCGCAGATGCCGTCAGAGGAGCTTTATGTCTCTAAAGCAGAAAACTAGTCCACCGTGCCTGCAGTGCCTCCCCTCTTCAAACATGTTGGGAAGGATGTTTTTACTTAGGATCTCTAATCAACGGAATTTTAAACTGACCAATTGGAAGAACAGATGGATTCTGGATGAAGCTGTAATCCGGAGGTTGAAACTGATTTCTGTTGGCAGTTTCAACCCTATTTGTCAGGAGGGGAGAGTGGGAACTCTTCTGGGGGAGTGTTCTGTCCCAGAAAGAAAAGAATGTTTTCTGTTCTGACCACTGAATAAAGGGAGAATGAATCTAGGCAGAAATGACCTGGCTGAAGTTTAATAGATTTTAATATAAAAAGGCTAGCAGATTCCAGTGGAAGCGAATATAGTCAATTTGTATTTATAGACAGGGATTAAATAAACTAATCCGACAGGAGTCTTTGCAGGCAATTGTTTGGGAGCAAGATAGATCCATCTGCGTGCAAAGAATCGTGAATGAATGAGGATCCATGGCTCAGTGGGCAGGCGGAGCCTGGAGGAGACCACCAGTCCAGATAATCAGACATTCACATTTCCCACTGTTTTGTTCTATTGTATCCAAATGTGAGAAGCTGCTTTCCAGTCCCCCGCATACAAAGCTCTTTATTGGACTTTACTGAGGCATGAACCCCACTGCTTTACTGAAGCTGCCAGCCTCAGAAGGAGTTTTGCTTGATGGCGTCTGGCAGCTTGGCTGTGCCCCCAAGTAGATTTATGAGCTGTGAAAGATGGTCAAATTCACACCCTAAGCATTCCTGATAGGATTAGAGGGTCCGAGACATGCCTGCATTTGCATACCGCCCCGATACAGGGCACAGCTTTGTGCCTTCCCAGCCCTTCTGGATGGGGTGCGGAGAGGGGCGCAGGAGGTGACACCACGCTCCCCTCTTGCAGCTGGCAACACAAAGGGTCACCAGGAGACTCCAGATGATGTTATTTGGCATTTAACATCTTCGAATGGCAGCATCTCCCAATGAAAAGGACTGAACTGAAGTGGTAAATGCATCCCCTTTCAGGGCTAGCTACCCATCCAGGACTCCCCATGGAGAGAAAGATCATCTCTTCTCTGGGGGTGGGATTGACTCTTCCAACCACCCAGACAAGCCCTGAGGGTGGGCCTTAAAAACATCCATTTACATCATACTCATTACCGATTGTTCTGATGGTAACAGTAAAGCATAGTGATTGTAGAAAATCTGGAAAAGGCTGAAAAATACAGCAAAGTGAAAATCACCCATTATCCCATTTCTTAGAAATAGCTAACCATTACCATTTTGGTTATATTTATTTACAGTCTGCTTTCTAGGCACATAGGCAAGTAATTGGTGGTTTTTGTTTTAACAAAGCCGGATCTTATTGTTTAACAATCTTTTAATATTCTATCTGAAGCATTTTCCCATGCTATTAAGTAAGAGAAAAGCTTATTTTTAGTGACTGCATAGTGTTCTATCATAAAGAATAAAATGTCTCAGCTTAGGCTGCATTAGCCCAAGTAATGTGTTTACTTCAGGGGACAACGTGCATGAACAACATGTTGTTGTGTGCCACACAAACAAGATGAAGTATTAAGACTCTCCCCCTGAGTTTAGCCTGACACTAAAAGGCTATAGGAAATTATATTAGGCTAAAAGATATTCTAAGTCTATAATAATTAATTAAAATATGGGCTATCAGTGCAAGAAGAGACTGAAAACTATTAAAACAATAGAAATTTCAAATCAATGAGGGAAGAATGAATTATATAATGGTTCTAATACAAGTGATTAGGGGAAAATTTAAATTAAATGCTTACTTCAGGGGCTCCTGGGTGGCTCAGTCAGTTAAGCATCTGCCTTCGGCTCAGGTCATGATCTCAGGTTCCTGGCTGGGATCGAGCCCGCCATCCGGCTCGCTGCTCAGCAGAGAGCCTGCTTCTCCCTCTCCCTGCCGCTCCCCCTGCCTGTGCTCGCTCTGTCAAATGAATAAATAAAATCTTTAAAAATAAATGCTTACTGGTGGAGCTGGTTCCTGAGGGAGTTGGGTCCTGCAGAGTGAAGATTTAAATTCCAAGGTCATGGCAAAACATCTGAAGTTCATTGCCAGGACTGTGATGGTACAGGAAGGGAACACAGAAGGTGCATACAGGACCCTAAACAGAATCCTCACCATGGATGGGCTCATCGAGGACATTAAGCGACAGCGGTACTATGAAAAGCCTTGTTGCCAAGGACAACGGGAAAGCTACGAAACCTGTCGGCAGATCTACAACATGGAAATGGCTCGCAAGATCAACTTCTTGATGCAAAAGAATCGGCCGGATCCATGGCAGGGCTGCTGAGGCCTGTGGATAGTAGGCCCAGTATGAAAATCCCTATCCAGCTGTCTCCTTTCTTTCTACAATCCCATTTTCTCTTACGTTTCTTATAATAAATTCAATCACATATGTGCAAGAAGGCCTGCATATGTAGAAGCAATCCTATAGTCAGCAGTGGACCCTCTCTTTTATTATGCGAAGGAGAAACTAAGTCAAAAAGTAGTCTAGGAGTAGAATGGTGGTTGCCAAGGGCTGGTTGGGAATGGGGATTTAGTGTTTAATGGGTACGGAATTTCAGTTAGGGAAGCTGAAAAAGTTCTAGAGACAGATGGTGGTGATACTTGCACAACAATGTGAATGTACTTAGTGCCACTGAACTGTACACTTGCATGGTGAAAGTGGCAAATTCCATGTATATTTAGCTATAATAAATTTTTTTTTAAGTAGTCTAGGAGAGGTGAGGAACTTTTCTAAAATGTAGTGGAATATATCTACCATTTCCTACTCAATTCTTATGAAACCCAAAGCAAGGCATTATTGGAAGAGCATCTATTACTCTTTACTGAATTGTCCCCTCCTACCAACTGTTAGATAAAAGGAGAGGAGAGGAGGCATCTACGTATTTGGAATAAATTTTGCTACTGAAACACCCTTCAAAAAAGTAAATAAATAAATAAATAAATGCTTACTTCACATCATATTCTAAAATAAGTTCCAAGTGGGGCTCCTAGCTGGCTCAGTCTAAAGAGCATGTGACTCAATCTCCAGGTTGTGAATTCTAACCCCACATTGGTGTAGAGATTACTTAAAAAAATAAAATCTTATAGGGCGCCTGGATGGCTCATCGGTTAAGCATTTGACTCTTGATTTTGGCTCAGGTCATGATCTCAGGGTCGTGAGATCGAGTCCTATGTTGGGCCCTCTCTATATATATAAAATAAATAAACAAAGGGCCCCTGAGTGGTACAGTTGGTTAAGCACCCAACTCTTGATTTCGGCTCAGATCATGATCTTGTGGTCGTGGGATTGAGCCCCATGGCAGCTCTGCACTCAGCTCGGAGTCTGCTTGAGATCCTCTCTCCTTCCCACTCATTCTCTCTCATTCTCTCTCTCTCTCTCAAATAAATAAATCTTTTTAAAAAATTAAATCAAATCTTTAAAAATAATATAAATATTCTCTACCTTCCCTCTACCCCTCGTCCCCCCGCAAAGAAAATGAAATAAAATCTTGGGGTGCCTGGCTGGCTCAATAGGTGGAGTGTGCAACTTGATCTCGGGGTTGTGAGTTTGAGCCCCACGCTGGGTGTAGAGATTACTTAAAGAGTAAAATCCAAATAAAAATAAAATAAAATCTTTTTAAAAAATAAAATAAATCCCAAGTAGATTAAAAGTCAAATATTCTTTGTAAAGATCTAATTTTTTTATTTGACAAAGAGCACAAGCAAGGGGAGTGGCAAGGAGAGGGAGAAGCAGGCTCTCGGCTGAGCAGCGAGCCCGACAAGGGGCTCAATGCCAGGACCCTGGGATCATGACCTGAGCCGAAGGCAGACGCTTAACGATTTGAGGAGTCCCTCAAATGGCAATTTTTTTTTAAAGAATAACACTCTGTAGTGAAGGTGCTAAAAATGGGTACGCTCATATGGCAGGTGGGAGTGTAAATTGGTGGAACCCCTCTGGAGATCAATCTGTTATATATAACACCACACAGTAGATGATACTTGTTACTATTTCTTTTAATATCTAAAAAGGGGGGCTGGGAAATGCTATTTGAGGATTTCCAGATTGTACAGCAGTTAAAACATCTAACGCCCTTCTATTTCGTAATACTGCTTTACGCATTTGTGGGTTAGCGAGTGGTGGGAGAATATGAAAAGGTCTGATTGTGGCCTGGGAGATTCCAGGTGGTATTGACCACAGGCCAGAGAGTAATATTGTACTTTGTCACAGAACAGTCATGAGATATTTGAGTCCTAGATCCCAAGACATAGTTATATAAGGAATGCCAGTGGGGAAGACCAATACAGGCAGAATCCCACATATCCAGCAGGCTGTTTGGTTTTGAAGTACAGCATAACACCGTGCCCATTGTAAGAAGGAACTATCAGTATAAATTGGGGAAAAAGAGAATGAGAAAGAGAGGTACAACCTTCATTGTCATTTGAAGAGAAGTCTGAGGTCTTCCACAGTTCAGAGGAATAAGAAGGCATGTTCACTGGCACGTGGATCCCTGCGAGGAAGATACAGGTTTAATGCTTGATATGTGAATCCATGAGGAATGTCCTTCTAATTTTATGGCTGTGGGAGTGCAGAAAATGACCCAGTAGGGCCTCTTCCATTTTGGAGTTAAATCCCCTGCTGTATTAGACTTCCAATCCTTTAAGTAAACCATGTCTCCTGGGTTTATGTGAGGTAGGTTGTTAATAACAGTTAAACCAGGTGTGGGGAGGATATGGTCTGTGTGTTCGTGTAGAGATTAATGAATTAGCCCAGCCTCAAATGAATAATTTAACAGAGCATTATAGTCTTCATCTATTGGTAGGTCTACAGTGACGAAAGGCTTCCCATATAATAATTCAAAGGAGCTTAGCCCTATTGGTTGTTTTTGGGCAACTCTCATTCTGAGAAGGCCTACTGGTAAAAGAGTAATCCAATTTTCTTGAGTCTCAACGCTGAGTATAAAGACTTTTCCTCCATCATTTATAAACCAGTCTTGGGCACTTTTTTTTTTTTTTTTTAATCCCTGTTCCTGGGCTGCTTGGATTTCTTGATGTAAATAGACCAGGGATATATCTTTTATTGGTATTAGGACTGGTCTGAGACTCAGTATTTGCAGACATTATGAGGCTTGCTTGGCTGCATGGTCTGCCAAGTTACTTCTTTTAGATTCCATAGACATGTCCTTTTGATGTCCCCTGAGGTGAGTTACAGCCACATCTTTAGGGTAGTGTGCAGCCTCTAAAAGGGCTATTATTTTAGGTCCATATTTGATGGGACAGTCATGATTTGTTAATAATCCTCTCTCTTTCCAAATTGCCCCATGCGGGTGAGTGCTATTAGCTCTGCTTTCTGGACACATGTATGTGCTGGGAGGCCTTTGGCCTCAAGGGTCTGGGTTAGACTGACTAAAGCATTACCCAACTTTTCTTATCCCCTTTTCCATGAAACCACTGCCATCAGGAAACCAATTGTCATCTGCATTATCAATAGGAGAGTCTTCTAAGTCTGATCCGCTAGCATAAACAAGACCAATAACTTCTAGACAGTTATGTTCTCTAGAAGTACCATAGTCAGGTCCAAGCATAAGGGCAGCTGGGTTTGAAGCCTGACAGGTCTTAACAATCACGTCAGGTGCGTCTAAGAGCACAGCCTGGGATTTAGTCAGTCAGCCCCACTCCCCACCCCCTTTCATTCATTGGTGGCCTTTAGTGTCTAAAACCCTTTCAACCTGACGTGAAGTCATCAGTCAGGGACTGTCCCATAGAAAGTTCCGGAGGCTTCCTCTGGCAGGAGGGCTGGTGCAGCCACTGCTCGAAGACAAGCCGGCCACCCTTGTGCTAAATTGCCAAGCGGCTTTGAGAAATAGCTGGTCTTGTTTCATTTCCTAATTTCTGGGTAAGAACTCCCAAAGCTTGACCCTATTTCTCGGCTACATATAAAGTGCAAGGTTTTTCTAAATTTGGTAGAGCCAAGGCTGGGGCTGATAAAAGCTTAGCTCTTAATGTTTGAAGGCCATCTGCTGGGCTTTAGTCCAGAGTAAAGGCTCTTCATCAGGGCCTTTCACTGAATCATAGCATGGCTGGGCTAAGGGCCCAAATCCAGGAATCCACAGGCGGCAGAAGCCTGCCTAGGAAAGTATGGAGTTGCTTCTTTGTAGTTGGGGGCTCAAGACATAATATAGCTTTTTTTCCTGTCAGTAGGTAGAGTACAGTGACCTGGTGTTATTAGCTCATATTCTAAATATTGTACTTTCTGTTTGGATATTTGTGCCTTTTTAGGGGAGATGTGATACCCTCTGTCTGCCAAGAAATCAAGGTTATAGAATTACTGTCAGACATTTCCTTGGTGGGACTACAGATTAAAATATCATTCACATATTGAATTATAGTCCCTTAAGGCAAGGATATATCAGGTCTTTACTAAGTGCAGTCGCAAATAGGGGAGGACAGTCTCTAAATCCCTGGGGCAAGACTGTCCAGGTGGACTTGAAGGTGAGGTCCATTCAAAGGCAAATAGTGGCTAAATCTCTTCACTTAGAGGGATGCAAAAGAAGGGGTCTTTTAAACCAAGTGCTGTAAACCAGTTAGCTTCACCTGGGTGAGAAGAGAATATGGATTTGGCGCGATGGGATGAATAGGCACCACTGCCTCATTTATAGCTCTTAAATCTTACACCATACGACATTCTCCACTTGGCTTTTTCCCGTTGGAGTGTTATAAGGAGATTGACAAGGCCTTAAAATACCATGTTTAAGAATCTTATCAATATGTGGTTGTATCCCAGGCATTGCCGCAGGTTTTAAAGGGTATTGTCTTTTATGAGGTATAGTAGTTGGGTCCTTTAAGGTCACTTTAAGTGGGTGGACTTTAAAAGCCCATCCTGGGACATCACAATCCCAGACCTGTGGATTTACTTCCTCCCAGATATTAGAAGGGCTATCAGGGGAAGGTCTTGTTTCCCCAAGTGTTAAAGAGAACAAGCGGTGGGCACCTGGGTGGCTCAGTCGTTAAGCGTCTGCCTTCGGCTCGGGTCATGATCCCGGGGTCCTGGGATCGAGCCCCGCATCGGGCTCCCTGCTCCGTGGGAAGCCTGCTTCTCCCTCACCCACTCCCCCTGCTTGTGTTCCCTCTCTCGCTGTGTCTGTCTGTCAAATAAATAAATAAAATCTTTAAAAAAAAAAAAATAAAGAGAACAAGCGGTCCTTTTCTTTAGTAAGAGCAAATCTCCCTAGGGGGGAGGGGGATGGGTTATCCTGGTGATGGGTATTGAGGAGGGCACGTTCTGCATGGAGCACTGGGTGTTATGAACAAACAATGAATCATGGAACACTGCACCAAAAACTAATGATGTAATATATGGTGATTAACATAACAATAAAAAATTAAAAAAAAAGAGCAAATCTCCCTAGTTTATACATCTAGTCTCATCCAAGTAATGGAGTGGG